CATCAGAGGGACAGCTCAGGTCAGCTGTTTTGGGGACAAGGTCAGAGAGGCCAGATTGAGATGGTTTGGACATGTGCAGAGGAGGGATAGTGGTTATATTGGTAGAAGGATGTTGGAGATGGAGCTGCCAGGCAAGAGGTCAAGAGGAAGGCCAAAGAGGAGATATATGGATGTGCTAAAAGAGGACATGAAGTTAATTGGGGTGAGAGTAGAGGATGCCGAGGATAGAGTTAGGTGGAAACAGATGATTCGCTGTGGCTACCCCTAACAGGAACAGCTGAAAGTAGAAGAAGAAGAAGATTAGTATTACAGAGCTGTAATGTATAATGTGTCATTCAGGGTTGCTTGAGACCCTTTAATAATTTTTGTGCTTTAAAACAGCTTGTTATGACCTCAGCTTTGTACTAGGCCATTATTAATGGCCTGCATACCCTGCAGTAATGTTTTTGGTTACTACTTTGGAATTGAATGTCACAGCAAATAAATACATTTTAGCACTAAGGATTAAATTAAATCCAGTCAATATTTGCACTTGTCCTCTTTGTCCTGAGGAGAGGACACATCATTGAATGAAAAGAGAGATTAGCCCTGCAGCTCTGTTAGGCTGCCTAGTAGAAAAAAAGCAAACGGTCAATGTAGCACTGTACACACAAACTCAACTGACAAATGACGTGATCAGTCAATGGCTGTGGTCTTCCACAGCTGACCAGTCTTTCTAAATGTCAAGTATGAAAGCAGCCCTACAGTTAATGACCAGCCCGACTTGAAGATTTCCTAAATTTTTCTTAAGTACAGGAAAGTAGGAAAATGCCCTTGTTGAAGGCACAACTAAGAACTATGACTTGTCAGATTCAGCATTTCAAAAGCTGTATTAACCGACACCTTGAGGCAGTGGAGCAAATTGACATATCATCTTATAACATTTTGGAGTGCGTTAGCTAACAACTGCATACACATCCAACACATAAAGAGCTGCACTCATTTACACACATTTGTTTCCAGCTGATGATTGTAAGTCCAACAAGTCCTCCAACCTAAATGCCATTATACCTTCTACAATATACCTTCAAATACAACCCACAGAACCCTTGCAGCAACATGGTTACTAGACATCTGTTGTCAAGGAAACAATTATAAATGCACAGTTATGATTAGTGAGCATCGGGATTTCTTTACGTTTAGGGATAAAACTACTTGGTTAGGGTTATAATCATATAGATTTTAACTAACTTTTGTGGTCATGGTTACAATAATAACTAGGTTAAAGCTGTGGAACAGTAATGATAAAAGTCACATGACACAGATATTGATCACCAGGCTCCTGTGGGAAAGTCCAGTGCTTTCTGACCCATGCACCCTCCCCCTAATGTGGACTTTGTTCTATACACTGTTACCTACTGTAAGTTCGTCATTGTTTCTTGAATAAAGTTTATTATTACAATAATCACTAGCGGTCACCTAACAAAATGTTACTGTTGGTCATAAGATACCCTGCTGCTGGCGCAAACCACATATAGAGTCATGCTTTACAGGAAAGTCTTGTACGTCCAATATTCACTCTCTTTTTACTTGACTTGGGCTGTACCAAACCCTGAGAAAAACATCTGACCCTTTAGCAAACTTTCAGGTGGAGCCTAACTACTGGTAGGATGCATTTTTGCTGAAAACTGATGACAAGACTGAAATTCACAGGAAGTGAAACCAAAACAATGAGTCAACAGAAATTAAAAAGCTCTATAGTACTGGGGAACCACGGGGATGGTGATAATTCACTGCTGATTTGAAAAGTAAGCAACGCCTTTTACATTACACATAGTGATTTGATTCATTGTTAATATAAAAATACTTATTAGTGCAACTGACTGATTTTACTGTAATTTAGTCAATTCAGGAGAGTTTCCCAAATGTACTATTATTTAGGATTTGACCAAGCCTTGCAACACAGTGCCATCAGAGAAATAGCAATCCACATATCAAATCAAATCAAATCAAATCAAAAGTGTTTGTTGTCATATGTACAGTAAGGAAAAATGTATCACTGCACAATGAAATTCTTCCTTTGCTGTCCACAATGAATGCCATACAATGTAAAGTCTAAATATAAAATAGATGATAATACTGTAGTGATCCTTCACTGGGCATGTTATGATGTTCTAAATTGTTATGGTTACTTGATGGGTGTGGCGCTTCAGGGGTTAAGAGGTTTGAGAGCGGGAGGGAGTGAAGTGTGGGGGATTTTGAGCTACAGAGAGTGTTAGCAGGCTGTTTTTCTTTCTTATTGTTGTTGAGCTGTTGTTTTGGCGTGGTTACGGCCAACAGTAACCGGCTGTGTGGAGTTAATAAAAAGCGACTATTCGTCGGCACTCAAGGTTGTCTTCCTTGTGTCCTGCTGGACGCTACAATACAAAATAAAGGCAATTTTTAAAACAGCATGTAAAAAATATAGTAACAATATAATAAGAATATATGCTACATCAGCTGTATTTGCAACAGTGAGCAATGAATGTGCAATTATGCATGTACAGATGTGCATGTGCAAACTGAGAATGTAAACAGTACAGGTGGAATTACATGAAATAATTCCTGATAATAAAATCCTGTCAGCTGTTTAGGAATCTTATGGCAGTGGGAAAAAAAAGAGTTCTTTAGTATAGAGGTCCTGCATTTCACACTTCTGAGCCTCCGGCCTGAGTGTAGAGGTGTGAACAGTCCATGCCTGAGGTGGATGGGGTCCTTGAGGATGGAGGCAGCCTTCCTACGCACCCTGCAGTGGTAAATGCTCTGCAGAGAGGGCAGTGGAGTCCTGGTGATCTTCTCCACAGTCTTTACCACTCTCTGCAGGCGCTTGTGGTCCATAGCAGTAGTGCCGCCATATCAGACGGTGATGCAGCTGGTCAAGATGTTCTCAACGATGCAGCTGTAGTAGTTACAAAGGATCCTAGGCAACATGCCAAACCTCTTCAGGCTCCTCAGGAAGTACAGCCGCCGTTGGGCCTTCTTGACCAGCTGTGTGGTGTTATGTGTCCAAATGAGGTCCTCACTGATGTGGACGTCCAGGTATTTAAAGCTGTTCAACCTATCCACCTCAAGTTCCCGGATGAACAGTGGCTGATGAGATGTCCTCTCCTTCCTCATGTCCACTATCATCTCCTTCGTCTTGTCCGTGTTGAGGCTGAGATTATTGTCCTTGCACCATGACACCAGACCGGCCACCTCCCTCCTGTAGGCTGCTTTGTCCCCGCCAGTGATGTGACCATCACTGCGGTGTCGTCCACAAACTTTGGGCTGATTATGTCTTTGTGGGAGGCAACACAGTCGTGGGTGAACAGGGTGTAGAGGATGGGACTGAGGACACATCCCTGTGGGGTGCCAGTGTTTGTAATAATATGTACAGTGACTTTACATGTATTAGTTGTTTAATATTGCACCAGCCATTATCAACTGTATTAGGGCTGAGTAGTGGGAATTTATATCCTAGGAATTACTGGGAATTCTTTTCTATATCTGTTTAACTGTTCCTGGGGAAAATGCTTGCAAGAACACAGGATTTCCAGCATACGTGCTTGTGTACATATATAGTATGTATTCAAGACTGTTTCAAATATTTAAACAAAAAAGCTAAACTAAGTGGATCTTTTCTGCTATAAATGTTTATGTTTATGTGTGTGTGTGTGTGTGTGTGTGTGTGTGTGCTGAAATGTATGGCAAAATACCTTTTCTTCCTTCCCTCCATGTGCCTGTTGACAGAAAGGAGGCTCGGCTCATAACTGCGGCCAGCTGAAGGTTGGCCATGTTATTCTGGAGGTCAATGGCATTTCCCTGAGAGGTCGGGAGCACAAGGATGCTGCCCGGATCATCGCCGAGGCCTTCAAGACCAAAGAGAAGGACCACATTGACTTCCTAGTGGTTGAGCCAGGACTCTAATACAAGGACTTTGCACTTTATGCATTCTGGTTTAAGAAGACACTGTTTTATTGTTGCTACATGAAGTGTATGAACAGCATATGATGTTTGCCCTGTAATCATCATTGTTTTAGTTTCAAAGATTAGTGGAATGATGTGTCAAACTGTGATAATTGCACTTTACAGAGATTTGCACAATTTAGATTCAGAAGAGTACATATTCTATTAAGATTTGCCATAAAGGTCATACATGGGTCAAATGCTATTTACATTGGTTTCACTGGATGAGTTCATTCTGTTTTACTAGTATTCCATCCCTGACTGTTATTGTTTGACCAGGAAGACAATTACTGTAGCACTGATACAAAATTTCATATCACAGTCAGTGAGTCTTCACTTATTCTGCATCCTTTGGTGGAGGCAGAATCAATGAACAGATCATTTGGGTTCATTACAGTGAGGGATAGAACATCAGAAAAAACAAGGTTGTACTCATTGATTTAAATACTTGTCTTTGATAGAAAAGTAAGATGGAGCATAGCATTTAATTTGATGAGGACAATTTTATCCTAACTGAAAAAAATGATAGAAAAGACTAGAATTTTTCAAATATAGTTAATGTCAATGAAAAAATAAAACTGGTTGAAGTGCAAATAAAATATCAACTGTAGCTGCGGCTGCAGAGGAGGTTTACTTATAAGCTTAGCTAAATGGATGGCAAACATTGAAAACACCAGACTTTGTATAAAAGTTTAAAGTATAAGATTTCATAATACTAGTTTTTCTCTGCAACGGCTCACTTTTTCATTGAGCTTTTGCCAAAAGCCA